AATTATAAATTAGTGCAGAGCAGATATATTAAGAAGACAAAAGAAACAAAAATACTTTTCAACTTAGTACAATGATACTAGATAACTCTATCTCAATTGAATAGTTTATGGGCTAATTTGGTGAGTTTATTGCTAATTCATAATGCCTCATATAATTTAAACAACTCACAAATACTTACAAATGATATAAAAAAGAAAATACCTCCTATAAAAAACACTTAGAAAAGGTAGAGGTGTAGTAATTGACTTTGCTTAAGGTATATGTCTCTTTATTGCATTTTGTTTCTTTGGTATATCACTAACTCTTATCTCTATTCTCAAATGAGTGCTATTTTCTAACACATTCAGCTCTATCTTCTCAACATACATTAATATGCTATTTATACTTTTCCAACTAACAATGGGTTATTTACTTTATAATTGGCTATACTAACTCTAAACTTTGCTAAACTTTAAATACTTTATAAGACACACATAGTTTCTTTATCAGTACTCAAGCCTTATCTAAAGTTTTCTTACCTTGTGATACTCAATATTTCATGCCTAACTTTTAGGTTTTTGGATTCTAGACCATTATACATAAATTGTATCACCTATATGACCCATAATAATGAACATATTGCAAGACGAAGAACAAAGACCTTTTACTAACTAAGGCTGATTAAATCACAAAAGAAGCTAGCAAATCATCATAATATATACTTGAGGATACTATAACAATCCTTAAAACTAATCTAGACCTATTAGGTTTTTTATTTCAGAGGCCATGAAATCATCCAAAATATTCATAAGACACTTAAATCAATCAGCCAAGCCAAATACATATATAAGTAGATGAAGCTTATATAAAATAAATGAATATATATATAGTTTAAAGACAAAATTAATTGGAAGTCTATCTTTGAACAGCTATATTTCTCCAAGATCTCTAATAATAATATAGACATTATAGACCATAAGATCCATGCATTTGCAGTCAAACTCTGGAACCAAGAACTCCCCACTATAAACAAGCTGCATAATTAATATTCTATCATCTACAAGACTTCTAAATACTTCCATTACATGACTAATAAAGATAATTTACATCTATTCATATGCTCTATTCATCAATTGGACATGAAACAGATAATTATCAAACCCTATCCATAGAGAAATAATCACTAGAAAAGAGAACAAATCTAGCCATAATATAAATCAAGAAATCGCAAGTATTCTCAACAAGTCTAACATCCAGCATATAGTTGTTTGAGAGGAAATCACTAAAAGCCTAATCTCACTCATTACACAATAAATAAAAATAAACAAAATAATCTCAACCATACGAGATATCTCAAATAGAATTCTGTTTATCACATACAGTATTTGAAATGACAGATGTTTTCATTTCTATACATTAAAAGTATTACAGAACATCAGCTGATAGAAGAAGTCAATAGTACAAACAGAAAAAAAAGAACACCAATAATGATCAAAAGTTAAATGTACCAATCAGTGAATACTGGCTGATCTCCTAACTGTAATCATCAAAGAGACATACAATATTTTCACTATTTTCAACAAAGTATGCTAATAGATCCTAGGCATATTAGCTCTTCCATTAAGGGAGCAACAAGTTACAAGAGTACTAAGATATAATTGACTTTTTTGTAAAAATCTTGTTAAAAGATAGAGAAAAAAGTAATTGACAAAATAGCTTTGTAAATTCAAGTATCTGTAATATAAGGAAAATCAAATAAAGTAGGCTTGTGATATCTATTAAAAAAATTAATATAGAATATATATTAATTAATCAAAAAAATCAACTTTTATATACAGGATTTCTTTTTGGAACCAGATAGTAATCTCATATATTATATAATCTTGTTACTTAGAATATATAGCTTTAATTTCAAATGATATAATAAAATAGTTTCTGAACTATTGAAGCTACAGATATTACTATCAAAAATATAATAGATCATAGATTCTATAAGAAAATCTAGCCAAATTTGAAAAAAACAACATAATATTCTCAAGTCAACTTCTTGATAGGGATAAAAAGAAACTTTTAAAATAATGTCATATTTTTAGGCTATATAATAGAAAAATATCAGGTTCGACTTCAATTTTATTCTTCATATAATAGAAACTCTGAAACTAGATATTTAATACAAATAACCTACAGTGAAACACAATTAACTGTTTCTTTTAGTATATGTCCATAAATGAACACTGCAAAACTATATTAGATTGCAATAGAGTTAAACAATGATATGTTAATTAAAGAAAACAAAGGATGATAGATAACAGTAGAACCACATATAGGTGTTATATTCAAGAACTCAATACACTTATACTAGTAAAGTGCAAGGTTACAACATTAATCAAAATAGCTAACCAAACTACCTTTATATATTTACTACTAAACAAAATACAGTAATAGTTACAATTTAACAGAGTAGAATTGAATAAGAATAAATATAATAGATACTATTAGACTTAGAAATAGGGTCACATTCAATTTAATTATAAAAGTCTTCAAAGAGCAATTCTAGCAAACAACAATAGATGCCAAAAAAGATATAGCAACATGGATAGCAGAAGAACACATATTTTACACCTGAAACAAGTTTCTCAATATGCTTCTATCAGGATAGTACAAGCTATATTGTGAAATTTTTTTATCAAACTGAATTTGATTAACATAGGTAGTTATAGCATAAATTACATATGTACATTTATACTTATTCCAAATAAAGTAAAGCTGAGTCAGCATTAAAAAAAAAAGAAGTTTATTTAAAGTACATCTTGTTACAATGTTTTTCATATTAGTTAATCTGATGCCAGATAATATAAATGTATTTTAGAGATAGAAAACCACCTCTAAATCATGTGAATCATGATAAAGATATATAAATGAAAAGGCAGAAATAATTATGTGCCACAAAAACAATTGAATTTAAATATGCTATATGATAATAATGTATTTACATATGTAATAGAATTGCATTGTCAGGTTAAATCAGTGAGTCTATCACTAATCTGTAGTACCTCATGTACTCACAACTAATACTAAAGAAGAGAATGCCTCTTGTATAGAACACTTAATAATGGCAAAAATATGGTGATTTACTTGATCAAGGGTAAGTGTCTCTTTATTTACATTCTGTTTCTTTTGTATAATACTAACCATTATCTCTATTCTCAATGAGGGCTGTCTTAACACATTCTGCACTACCCTCTCGACTTACTTGGTAGGATATTTATTCTTTTCTAGTTAAAATGGGCTATCTATTTTCAATAGGCTATGCTAACTTAAGCTTTGCTAAACTTTCCATACTTAACCATACACACAATTCTCTTATCAGTATCCAGGCCTTAATTCATAGTTTCTTACCTCGCAACAGTCAATCTTTAAAACCAGACCTTCATGTTTTTAGGTTCTAGACCGTTACGCGTAACTAGCGAAACCCACGTGACCTACTATAGCATATAAAAACATCAAATAATAGATATATTGGGCTTAACAAAAATTTAGTCTCTAAACTTCAGATAATTTAGGGTAAAATAACCGTAGATAAATGAGCAATTGTTTTTGAAGGCGATCGAAATACTAAATATGATTTTTTCGGCCCCAATTTCGAATAATACATATACGTAAAATGAAAATTATAGGATCACAATTATTCGAAATATCCCTGTCCGCTTTCAAAAATAATTACCCTAATACACACAGTTAGCAGTTTATATTAGATCAATTAAATGATTCACCACATATCAGTTAGTGATGAGGTTTTCTTTTATAGTTACGATAATACACAAAGGTTATCCAGGATGACTATTGGTGACAAATTATTGTTTAGCCCATGATATTTACATTATTAGGAATCGAGGGTTAAATTTTGAGCGTCACGACAATAAGTTTAATTTCTTACATAAGAGAGCAATTTAATGTCATTATCACAAAACTCCGTCTTTTGATCAAGTATCGATAATGGACGCGTGTAATTTGTGTTTTGTGATTTCGGAATTACTCTAATAATATTTACTATATCTCGCAAACAAGTAGAACTATATAAATAATTTTTTCCTAACACATATAGTACGACTTCTAAAACACGATTTGAGAAATACGCAGCACGATGACGCGCGTTTAGGTCATAAACTTGTTATTTATTGACCTCCCATTATCTGGAATATAATTGTATTGCTCGGCGGAAAAAATTTGGAAGGCGCTTCAAGTACAAATTTCATTTTGTGATAATTTTTATTTTTTTTTATTTTTTTTTTTATGAAAATTGTACGATTTTATGTACATTTTTACATAATCTGCGCAGACTGACATTTTCGTTTACGTACTTATAAAAAAACAAGCTATTAATCTTTATTCCAAATATATGGATTTTTCATTTCTCTTTCTTTCTTAAAAATTGCGAGTGCTTATAATCGAATCGAAATGATATCGTTTAATATAGAACACAGGCGCAAATAAGAATCGAAATAATATCGTTTAAGATAGAACATAGGCGCATATAAGAATAGAAGTGACATCGTGGAATATAGAACTCAGGCGCACATAAGAATCGGAATAATATCGTTTAAGAACGCAGGCTCATATAAAATTAAAAATGATATTGTTTAAGATAGAACGCAGGCGCATATAAGAATCAAGTAATCGTTTAAGATAGAACGCAGGCGCATATAAGAATCGAAATAATATAGTTTAAGATAGAACGCAGGCTCATATAAGAATCGAAATAATATCGCTTAATATAGAACGAAGGCGTATATAAGAATCGAAATGATATGGATTACGATAGAATGCAAATGTAGATAAGAATCGAAAATATATCGTTTAAATAGAACGCAGGCGCATATAAGAATCGAGATGATATTGTTTGAGATAGAACGCAGGCGAGTATAAGAATTGAGGGGATATTTTTTAATATAGAACGCATATAATTTTTGATAATAAATTTGCATAACGATTTTATATACGAGTAACTTTGCTAAAAAAGTTAATAAAGTCTATCAAGGAATTCGTCGATAATGCTTTTGGAATACCATAAATGTAGCATTGATAACAATTTCGTATTTAAAACAGTTTGTTGACCTTCATTTGTATTGGGAGACGGCTTCGGTTGTTCGAAAGGAACAAACTTATAGCATAAAGATTTTGGAAAACTATGCTCAAGTACTTCAAGTCTCTCTCTAATCATCTTAGCAACTTGTCTGTACTCCTCGCGAACCTTTGCATTTTCATTTCGCCATTGACTACTTGCCATTCTGGAGACTATGGCCATCTCTAGTCTGTGGTTGCGTCGTAAAAGTTCCTTCGTGTATACGCGACGATACACAAAAAAGCTATTTGGGCATTTCTTGCCGATCTTTTCTCCTGGTTCGATAATAAAATCGTCGATTTTTATTTCTGATGCTTTCGGCATTGTAATATCTATCGGAGAAAGATCATAATTATCTTTTCTGAAACATTTTTTAGGTTTAGAGGCTCTTGGTATACTTGAGGAAGAACGCCGTGTTTGAGGAATACGAGTCATATTTTACAAACGAATATCCTGAGGAATTGAAGAGTTATCCTTAACCTTATATAAGAATTCTCCATCAAAGCTAAAATACATGTAATATTTGTAACTTTTATAATGCAAAGGTTCCGAAAAGTAAAAGAAAGGTAATAAATCAAAGAACAATATATAAATCAGTTTTGAAATTAAATTAATAAAAGGTTACGAAAAGTGAAAAGAAAGGGAATAAATGAAAGAACAAGAATAAATAATTTTTAAATTCTAGTATCTAATTTATTTAGCGGAGAAGATTCTTTCTTTCATTATTTCTTTTTAAAGATGACTGCATCATTAAAACGGGCGAATAAAAGTCATACCTACGCAGTAATTAAGACAAAGCAAAATTACGTACGTAAAAGAAGAAGAAAATTAAAAATAATTCCGTACTTAATCTAGAGATACTTAATATGCTTCACTTGGGTACGCGAGATTTTTATTCGCGGGTTGCATGTATTAGCAATCTCCGATTACATTAAATTTACTCTCGCTCGTTTAATTTCCGCATACATTATTCATCGAATGCAAATTATTTTATTTACAATATCCAATATTTATTATTGACCTGCGAGACCTTCACATATTCAGAATTCATTTGCGTTTACATATAGTGATATATACAAAACTTTGTATAAATAAAAAGGCAAAGCATTAATCGAATTCACACGAAATGTCGGTTATGTAATCTTATTATTTTGTGTATATAACTTTTCTTTTTTAATTTGCTTTAACGAAGAAACCCGAATATAAAAATAATATTGGTTTTATATAGTGGAAGAAACGGATTATACAATATTTAATATTGTGATAACTGATCGCAGTCATGCTATATTATAATATATACTGTATACTGTATATACAATATACATGTACGTATAAACAATAACTTACGGTTCGTTACTTTATCCGTAACCCTTGTGTACTAGAAAAAAATTTCGCCGCAAGATTCATAAGCGACGTACGTATACTAAAATTGGATCATCAATAGCTAAAATGGAATGATCCATACCATCCGCGTTTCATATTTCTTATAAGAACATTTAAGCAACTTGGATACGTAAAGGGGTTTCCAAAATATATTGTTTCGTTTTTTATTGTTTTTTAATAAAATAAAAGCCTTCGACTACGTATTCCATTTTTAAAATGTGCGTAGTAATTTTCGTAAATACAGTATTTTCATAAATGAATTATATAATTGATCATCGATAGTGCAATTTTTTAAATTAAAATAAATTTAATTACAAAAAATTTCGTATGAAAAACTTGAGGTTTAGCTAATTAGTAGGAAAAATAATCAAAATATGTGAGAAAAATGAAGACGTGATGTAAGTAAAATATTTTAGAGTTAAGCAGAGCGAGCAGAAAATAAATATGATCCCCCTGAACAGCGTATATCTCAAACCTTTATATTTGTTCAATATACTTACTAAGTTTCTTTTATACTAAATTAGGAAGTTTCCCCAAAATATCTCTTAAAATACGCATATTTCCAACTTCTTTTTTTTTTATTTAACACTGCTAGAAATTACTTAAATTATCTATTCCTTTATGCTGCTATTTTAAACGTTCTAATAAATTGGGTTTTTATCTTATTGTTATTTGCGTGACGCATACTTTAAGTTATTTTTTATTTCTAATCACTTAGCCCGAACATGTTAGCATCCATAGCGACGCGATCGCTTCCCGTATTCCCGATTTTTTTACCCTATAACTGTTCTAGTAGGCAGCAATATACTGTATTAAAACCATATTTATTTATTAATGAAAATAATTTGACAAAAAAATTATGTTACTATAAAGCAAGTTTTGGTACGGTTGAGAACTTTTATGCGTATTAGTTTGTTGTTGTGATTTCTATATATTAAATATATCACAGTAATTACCGTAATAAAAAAATCATAATATATATACCAAAGAAGTGGTGAGATAGCATTCGCTTGATAATATATTCTAATAAAAGTACTTTTCATAGAATTTAATATCTGATTACTATATTACTTCTGTTGGTAAAGCAGTTGCTTATAATAATAGCAATTTTTGGCGAATTTTGATATTTTTATAGTCAGTTTTAGTCTGTCTACATTAACCTTGGCATATTCCTTGCTTAATATTTGATAGTTGAGTAAAACTGAAGTGATCTATTATTCAGTAATATGATGGATCTTTATTACGTATATTTATATTGTATTGCCAGTCTTGGTATTTTGGAATTGAATGGATCATTTCTCATTTTTATTTATCTGAAATTGTTTCAATAACAAGAATTGACTCAATGAGCTTGATTATATATTCAAATATTTTTATACTTGTATGCTAAATATTCAGTAAATAAGAGATCTTATTAAATTATTCTTGTAAATGTATACCATATGTTTATATTTATACATTATACTGTATATAAATTTTTTGTTTTCTTATTGTGATTATTAATTAATTTAATTTATTTTTTAATACTATTTCCGAGTATTAATACCATATTTAAAGTGTCTATTAATTATTAATTAATATATATAATAAATGTTTATTTAGATCACTTATTTTTTTTATTAAGCTGGCTCAGTCTTACTTTATTTGAATTAAGTAGAGTATACATATTGATTTTGTTAAAACTACCTATATTAACCAAGTTTGATATAAAAGAGAGTTTCACCTTATGGCTTGTCATCACTCCTGTTGGGGTCTAACTGGCCAAGGCTGGCTAGTATAGTAAAGATTTTTAAAGATATCAAATATATATATATATATATATATATTTAATGCTGGCTCAGCCTTACTTTATTTGGATTAAGTAGAAATGTATATATTGTTTATGCTATGACTACCTATGTTAACCAAATTAGTTCGATAGAGAAACTCACCTCGCGGCCTGTTGCCACCCTATTGGGAGCTAACCAGCCAAGGCTGGGCTAGTGCTATATAAAATAGTAAATATGTGGGAGGGGTGTGTAATGTTTTTTATGTATTTTCCTATATAATTGTTTACCAGGTCTATGTATTGACCTTTTGTGTTTTTCAGTTATATTGAACTGTGTACTTTTCTGTGGAGTGCTGTATCTGGCTATTCTTTCAATTTTCCATGTGATACCTTGCAGTTTTTTTATTTTTAGAATTTTTCGCATCTTTGGGTCCAGATGTTGTAGAGATAGTTGCTAGTCTCTTATCTAATTTCTTTTATACATTTATGTATTTGTTATTTGTTCAGTACACATCTGGCTACTATATTGTATGTTTCTTTGAGTACAGCTCCTTTGATAGTACATTTAAGGTATTTGGTATACTTCAGGAAGTTGTTTTTTAGGTAGTTGTTAATTTGTACTTCTGTATCTTTTATCTCGCTGTATTGCCTAACTTTGTCAATGATTGTGTTTCTTATATGCTCTTCTGTTCTCTATTATTAATCTTGACATATGAAAGGATGTATGTTTCTCTCTTTGGATCTGCAGAATATACATTTGTCATCTTTGTACAAGTTTGTTAGTCTCTGATAAAGTTTTGTTTTTGTTGGAAGTTCTTCGTTCCATAGGTATAAATTGAATCTCCTTTGTTATTGATCTATCCCGTTGGTACATTGTTCACTCATTCTAGTTGGTTGTAGATTTGACAGTGTTGTATCTCAATATATGTGTTTAATGACCCTATCACTGAATTCAATTCTTGTTCTGTTCAGTAGTCTCTATCTGACTAGGTATGTTGCCTTGATTAGTTCTTTGGCCATAGTTTTGATGGGAACTTCCAATATGTTGTTATTCCATTGAGATAGTAATATGAATTGTGAGTTTTTTGTAGGGTAAATACTAATTATTTTGTATCTTGGTATAATGCCTTGATAAGTATCTATTTTGGCTAGTTTGTCTGCTTGTTTATTATATTTGTTACCTGTGTGGGCCTTGACTTTAATAAGGTCGATCTTCAAATAGTTGCCAGTAACTATGTCTTTGAGTGGTTGGATAATCTCCAAGTTTTTCTGTTTTTACAAGTTGTGTATATGGTTTTTCCTCATTACTTTTTGAATGCTATTGATTGCTACTTGACTATCTGTGTGTATGTTAACTCTGCTATATGAAGGGAGTGTACTGATTACTATAAATATAGCCATCAATTCTGCTCTAGTCAATGAGGAGAAGTTTTCTATCTATCCTTGAAATTGGAATTCTTGATTGTTCCTAGTTATTATTATCCATCTGAAGCCCATGTAATATTGGTTGCAGTGGCATGACATAGATCCATCGGTATATATTTCAAAATTGATTTCATTCTGTATTTGCTCTATAATTGTAATTAATTCTTCGAAGATGAGAGGTGTTGCAGTCAAAGTCTTCCTAATCTGTTCGGATATATTGTTCTCAGTAGGTATTTGTACTTCAACTGTATGATTTGTTGGTCTGTATTCCTGCTCTGTAAGCATTGTTGAAATTGAGTTTGGTAAAGCTCTGCTTCTGAACATGTTGTTTGCCTTCATAACATTTGGACGTGTTGAGATTTTGCTCCATTGTACAAGAATTGTTACTGTGTTTTGCTTGCTGGCTGTAAAGTTACATGTAGAGTTGAATTGAGTCTGTTGATTTATATTATATCTTGTGCATTCATTTAGAGGAGATTCATCAGATGCCTGTGTATAGTATCTATAGATTGTTGAGTCATTATCTATCTTCCTTTGTTTTCTGCCAATGATTAGTTCTGCATTCATTTCTATTGCTAACCAATGTAGTTTTGCTATTGGTGTATCTGTTGTTGATATGTATTGTTGGAAACAATTGATTTGCCCTTATTGTTTGTCGGTTATCCACGTCTGCAGTTTGTGTTATAATGTAAAGAACCATGATGGGGTAAAGCCTAGTATTGATTTTTAGTGGACCACATCTTTTATT